CTTCACTGTCAGGTTACCAGGGCTTTCATACAGTCAATGTTAAGGTGGGTAATTGGTCAGTGGCAATCTCTATACAGGCCACATAATATATTAAAAGGTATGAATATACATTTCATCAAAACTAAAAATATTTAATACATTCTCCTTGAAAAGAATATATGCTTATATATTGGATTCTCATAACACGTTAAGCAACATTGAAACAAACAATTAACCTTATTGAATGGGCGTAACTCCTGATCGTCTTTTCTGCTAAAGTGCCCGTGAAGATCCGGGGTAGAACAGGTCTTCAGCAACCCATGCTTGCCGTAAAAGGCGACTATGCTTGTCGTAAGAGGCGACTAATGGGATCGGGTGGTCAGGCTCGCTGACTTGGTCGATGCAGGTCATCGATCCCAATTGCGTGGATCGATGCTCATGATATCAATCACTGGATTGTCTGGTCAAGACTCAATTATTTTACAGACCGCCGTCATATAGCTGGAATATTGCTGAGTGCGGTGTTGAACAACAAACCAAAACGAAAACCTTCTGCTAAAGGCTTTTGTTTACTACAGCCGTTCTCAAGCACTTCCTATAGCGAGTACGTCTTTCCTTTGTGTTAACAACACAGAAAAACAAGTACAGTAAACTACGGTTATAACGAACTCAAAGGGACTACTAATTTTAGTTCGTTATAACCGTAATTCGTTATAAGCATATATGCAGCATAACTTCAGCATATAGTCGGGTCTAAAAAGTTAGTTCGTTATATCCGTTAGTTGGTTATAAGCGTGTTCGTTATAACCGTAGTTAACTGTATTTGTTTTATCTCGCCATTAAAAATAATCGCATCAGCTAAGCTTCGCGTTGGCTACTTATTTCGGGATGCACATTTTTATACATGCAGCGCACACTCCCTTTCGGCGCCAGGTCTTTACTCTTTATATAATTCGTGACAACAAAAGTATCTGTTTCGAACAAAATTCGCAAAAGTCAAGACTCGAATATGTACAGACCGCCGTCATATAGCTGGAATATTGCTGAGGGCGACGTTAAACAACAGACAAACAAACGCAGAACGTTTTGACTTATTCAAATGGAAAGAGACGTTTACAAAATTGAGTTGTCATGCTAGTTGTTTTCATGAAGTTTGGACACTAATGTTCTCTTTAAATAATGCTTTTACTGAGATCAGGTATATGTTCTTTCTTGTTTGCTTTTGTTGAGTTTAATTAATTATCAAGAATTCTGCGTAAGGTCTGTAATCGGGACGTGTCTTTTGACAGGAACCAGACACAAATGCCTCTGCCAAAGTGGACTGCCTCCGTGGTCTAGTTGTAGAGCGTCCTCGTGGAACCCCGCCGCGTCATACCAAAAGACGTTTACTTGTTGTTACCCTGTCTGGCGCTCGGCATTAAGGGGCTAAAACAAGGACTGATCGGCTCGCAATCAGTATACATGTACTGTGTCTGAGTGGGGTATTCATGTTAAACTGCGGCATGGTATCTCAGTGGGCTAGCACTATAAATCGGCATCAGTCCGGACTAGTACAAACAGCCACACACACGTTCATTTACGTCGATATCTAAGTGCAATAACCTTATACTCTTGGACGCGAAGTTTACCCCCATTTCACCTCACCTCAGCAAAAGTGACATTATCTTTTCCGATTGAACTGTTATTTTTGGCACAGGCATTTGCTCTGATATCCGACTTCTTCTCGTCGTTATTGTCACAGGAATCTGTCATAGCATAAAATATTGCTGAATATGACTCTATACAACAAACAATTAAAATGCCGTATTGTGGCGCGTTCCCACAACAACACGGCGTTTCTGAAAAGTCGTGACCACGTCAGGAGGTTGAAGGGTATTCCTGAAATCCTGTCATATGTTCTTCGTGACGTAGAATTGGTTCCATGTCGAATGTGACATTTGTTTTCATGACGTACCACAATTACTATTTGCACTGTAGTTGGTTGGTTTGTTGTTCAACGCCGCACTCAGCAATATTCCAGCTATATGACGGCCTGTCTGTAAATAATCGAGTCTGGACCAGACAATCCAGTGATTGATATCATGAGCATCGATCCACACAATTGGGATCGATGACATGCATCAACCAAGTCAGCAAGTCTGACCACCCGATCCCGTCAGTCGCCTTTTACGACAAGCATAGTCACCTTTTACGGCAAGCATGGGTTGCTGAAGACCTATTCCACCCCGAAATCTTCATGGGTCTATTTGCACTGTAAACACATTGACTACATACTCTCCAAAGGGGGCACGGGTGGCCCAGTCGTCTAAGGCGCCGCGATTCGCTGTGCAGAGTTGCGTCCCTTGGGCACGCCAGAAACCTATGATTGTGGGTTCGAATCCCGGTTCGCCCTGATTATGTTTCTAGGTTTGTCAGCACCATACCCGTGCTCGTGGGTTTCACCGACGTGGTAAACGTCTGAGACCTGCATCACTTCGGGCTTTCCTCCCACATTAAGCTGACACGCCGTGATATAACTGGAATACTGTTAAAAGTGGCGTTAAACCCAACTCACTCACTCACTCACATACTCTCCAAAAGAAGTAAGGGGTCATTATTAGAACGATTTCGGAACAAAAACCTAAATCCCTATTACACCCAAAACATTGCTAGAATATATCTTCAGCAACCCATGCTTGCCGTAAAAGGTGACTATACTTGTCGTAAAAGGTGACGATGCTTGTCTTAAAAGGCGACTAACGGGATCGGGTGGTCAGGCTCGCTGACTTGTTTGATGCATGTATTGCTGAGTGCGGCGTTAAACAACAAACCTACCAACCAACCAAATTGCTTGGATCGATGCTCATGATGTCAATCCTAGGATTGTCTGGTCCAGACTCGATTATTTACAGACCGCCATCAAATAGCTGGAATATTGCCGAGTGCGGCGTTAAACAACAAACCAAATCTTGTGACTATTCAGGTATTGTAAATAAATCGATATGGCGGTGTGGTATTGATTATTGGGATCTTAACACAATGATATTCTTCAGATTTATATTGTCTTACTGGTGGTCTTAGTGAGGTTTTCAGATTATTTCTGGACCTTCTGGGTTGGGGTGGACGTGTCTGGGGATTTCCTTACGACGTCGTGCGAATGGCAACGTTTGGCAACATGATGGCAACGTGTGGCAGTTGCGGAAGGTATGTAATGATATGGGGTGGGATCACAGTGACTGCCAGGACACCAGTGCATATTGTCCATGTAAGGGTCACTGGAGAACCGGGGTAGAATAGGTCTTCAGCAACCCATGCTTGCCGTAAAAGGCGACTGCTTCTCGTAAGAGGCGACTAACGGGATCGGGTGGTCAGGCTCACTGACTTGGTGGATGCATTTCATCGTATCCCACATGCGTATATCGATGCTCCTGATATCAATCACTTGAGACTCGATTATTTACAGATCGCCATCATATAGCTAGAATATTGCTCAGTGCGGCGTTGAACAACAAACGAACAAACAAAGTGAAGTTACTACAAATTCCCTTGAATCCTTATGTAACGCCACGACGTTAAGGTTAAAACTATATTTAATGATAAAATCTTCAAAATGGCGTCGCTTTGAATAACCAGCAAGATTGGCAAGAAAACGATACACGGGGAGGCCAAGCTGTTGCACGTCGTCGATGGTCGTGCTGCCCACACACTGGCTAAGGCTGAATGATTATGCTGCTTACACGCTATTATCATGCTATTAAGATCGATGACACACTGACTTGCACATATATGTTGTTTGATTAAACTACACAGCCCTTGAGGACGGAACTTGAGCGTTCCAGTACTTCGATTTAATTCCGCGTTTCGTTTCCCACAGTAACATACACGTGGTATCCACTTTGCACAAGATGGTTTGTTTGGCTAGTTTGTTGTTTAACGCCGCACTCAGCAATATTCCAGCTATATGACGGCGGTCTGTAAATAATCGAGTCTGGACCAGACAAGCCAGTGATTGACATCATGAGCATCGATCCACGCAATTGGGATCGATGACCTGCATTAACCAAGTCAGCGAGCCTGACCACCCGATCCCGTTAGTCGCCTCTTACGACAAGCATAGTCACCTTTGATGGCAAGCATGGGTTGCTGAAGACCTATTCTACCCCGGAATCTTCACGGGTCAAATATAAAACATGTATAGGGGAAATATATCTCCTTTCGTTAAACACCAAACCGGCCAAATCTGATTCAAGACCGGAAGGTCGTGGGTTCGATACCAAAATACGTTAAAGGGCGGTACTTGTTACCCTGTCCCATGATTTAAAAGAAAGGTTTCTTCATCCGAAATATTATGCTGCGGCATAATATGAAACTGTTGTAAACTTGATGAATGTCCAATGCTCAAACAGGCAGATCTCCGATAGGGCAATCGGAGCTGTTACACCGCATATGATATACAGTAGTATAAGATTCAAGCAATTAATAACCGACACGACACAGAGGGGGTTTGGATACTACCAAGGGAGCTGAAAAAGCAGCTGACATGCACGATCCGTTTGTTTTGTTTGTTTGATTGTTGTTTTACGCCGTACTAAGCAATATTCCAGCTATATGACGGCGGTCTGTAAATAATCGAGTCTGGACCAGGCAATCCAGTGATTGGCATCATAAGCATCGATCCACGCAATTGGGATCGATGCCATGTATCAACCAAGTCAGCGAACCTGACCACCCGATTCCGTTAGTCGCCTTTTACGACAAGCATGGGTTGCTGAAGACCTATTCTACCCCGGATCTTCACGGGTCCTATACCAGTGTAAGAGAGTTTGATCCCCTCCCCACTTCGAATTAGAAACTACTTTCAATAAATCGAGTGCCTTCAGACATTTAGCTTTTAGGTATTTAATGTGTGGGATGAAAGTTAAATGGTTATCAAAAATAAGTCCCAAGAACTTGGCCTCCTTCACAACTTTGATAGGGGTGCCATTTAGAAATAGTTCAGGTTCCTTGTGCGGTTTCTGTTTTCTGCAGAAATGCATACAATTAGTATTTAGTTTGTGATTACTTCAACGAAGTTTTGAGAAACTTGACCTATGAGCTTTGTTTTTACAATATGTTAGATATTTCTCAATATTTATAGATGACTTGACAGACCTGTATGTTCTTATCTTGCTGTTGGATAAATGGGACTCCCGTAATGAATGTGTGAACATTGTTTTACATTTGGACTGAAGTTTATTTACAGTTGATTAATTTCATTTATTTGATTTTACTATTTACTGTTTGGAGTTTGATTTAACCCAGCCAACATCGTTTACCAGAAAGATTTATATTTGCCGCTAAAGCATGTTTAACAATGACAATGTTGATCTACATTGGTAGAGTACCCGGGTTCGCTGCCAGTAATAATAATAATAATTATATAAAATAACAATTCGAATTTCACTCTCATTTCCCTGGATGGGTTCATGTATGGGTCAAAGCTGCCTCATCCTTCCGGGTACCCATTGATAACTTGGTGAACAGAGGCTTATAAAGAACAAAGTCAGTTGCCTAAGGAGACAACTAGATGTCACGTGTTTCAGCGAAGCTCTAGAAACACTCAGGAGTCAAGATGTTGAACATGTTACTCATCCACCTACTCTCCGCAACCTGCCTCTGATTTGTAACCAGTGCGCTATACACAGGACCAGGTGCCGCCACCTGTCTTGCTTATCGTTTGCTAATTTCACCATATTGTGCAAACCAAATGGTTTTATCTATTTCATATTTATTCACGTGTGTAAATCAGCTTTCACTCAAAATCATAGTTTGATTGATACTGTGTCATTTGTCTTTTTTTAACAATGACGCATTGTCATTTTATGGCATCACATGGTATATATATCCAGTCGAGACATTGGTTCCCATTGGGTATCCGATTCATCACCTAAACTGTTATACCCATCACTCAGGGCTTACAGATAATGTAGACGTGCGTGTGGTCGTAGAACAACGACCACATTCTCCTCATGCTGTTAGCCTTCAAGGCCAGGGTGTCACAGTCGTGGTCGCTGGGGTTGTAGGTCCTAGAGATGTCGTTGATGCCAGGGACGTACCAGGTCGACCATCGACGACTCTTCCACTGGATTTTGTAGGCGATGATTTTACCTCCGTCAATCAGCTGATCGGCGAAGATATTGAGTCCCGCCACCCAAGCGCAGTTGTTGGTTGGTTTTCTTTCGTATTCCAAACAAATAACCTGGAGAACGAAAATTTAATTCAGGCGTCATGATAATGATACAAATTATAATACAAACATGTCATCGATCCCAATCATGATATCAATCGCTGGATTGTCTGGTCCTCATACCAGCCTCTCTCTCTCTCTCTCTCTCTCACACACACACACACACACACACACACACACACACACACACACACACACACACACACACACACACACACACACACACACACACACACACACACACACACACACACTTACAGTCGCGACGTTATTAAACCTTATTCTACTTCTCCTCACCTGTTCTCAGAGGTCTAAAAGGTGCATCATAAGCGAGTGCGTTAAATTAAAATATACGTGTTAGTGAAATGGACAGGGTGTATTATTGTTTTCGTTTATTAATAACAAGGCCGAGGTTCGATTCCCCAAATTGGTACAATGCGTGAAGCCCATTTCTTGTGTCTATTCAGGTGTCATAGATAAAACGATATGGATGTTTGGCATTGGTTAATTATTAATTTACGTATGTCACTGCAAAGTACCCGTGAAGATACAGGGTAGATTAGGTCTTCAGCAACCCATGCTTGCCGTAAAAGGCGACTATGCTTTTCGTAAAAGGCGACTAACGGGATCGGGTGGTCAGGCTCGCTGACTTGGTTGATGCATGTCATCGATCCCAATTGCGTGGATCGATGCTCATGATATTAATCACTGGATTGTCTGGTCCAGACTCGATTATTTACAGACCGCCGTCATATAGCTGGAATACTGCTGAGTGCGGCGTCAAACAACAAACCAAACCAAATCTTGTGACTATTCAGGTATTGTAAATAAATCGATATGGCGGTGTAGCATTGATTAATTGGGATCTTAACGCAAAGATATTCTTCAGATTTATATCTTCTTAATGAGCAGTAGTTGGTCCTTGGGACCTTGGCTTCTTGTTTGTTTGCTTGCTTGTTTGTTATTTTACGCCGCACTCAGCAATATCCCAGCTACATGTATATGACGGCGGTCTGAAAATAATCGAGTCCGGACCAGACAATCCAGTGATTGACATCAGGGGCATTGGTACACGCAATTAGGATACGATGACTTGCATCAAACCAAGTCAGTGAGCCTGACCACCCGATCCCGTTAGTCGCCTCTTACGACAAGCATAGTCGCCCCTTACGGATGTATCGGTTGCTGATGACCTCCTCAACCCCGGATCTTCACGGGTCTCTTGTTAATGACAGGAGATACAGGGGTCAAACAGGGCATAGCGTGATCAATTACTTTTTTGTGGAACAACATAAGGTTTAAATAATATTTTCCAATATATTTTTGTTTAAATTCAATTGAGTTCAAATGAGAATCAGATTTTAGATTGCTTTGGCTTGTATAGGGGCTTCATTGGATTTTGTTTGGGATTGTTCAAGGTTATTATGGATTGTTTGGGATTGTCCAAGGTTACTTAGGATTGTTTGGGATTGTTCAGGGTTACTTTGGATTGTTTGGGATTGTCCAAGGTTACTTAGGATTGTTTGGGATTGTTCAGGGTTGCTTTGGATTGTTTGGGATTGTCCAAGGTTACTTCAGATTGTTTGGGATTGTTCAGGGTTGCTTTGGATTGTTTGGGATTGTCCAAGGTTACTTCAGATTGTTTGGGATTGTTCAGGGTTACTTTGGATTGTTTGGGATTGTCCAAGGTTACTTAGGATTGTTTGGGATTGTCCAAGGGTACTTAGGATTGTTTGGGATTGTCCAAGGTTACTTAGGATTGTTTGGGATTGTTCAGGGTTGCTTTGGATTGTTTGGGATTGTCCAAGGTTACTTCAGATTGTTTGCAATTGTTCAGGGTTACTTTGGATTGTTTAGGATTGTCCAAGGTTACTTCAGATTGTTTGGGATTGTTCAGGGTTACTTTGGATTGTTTGGGATTGTTGAGGGTTATTTTGGATTGTTCAGGGTTACTTTGGATTGTTTGGGTGATTGAGTGAGTGAGTTAAAGTTTAACGTCACATCGGCAATATTTCAGCCATATCGTGACGAAACAAAACTTGACATTTACAATATATATTAAACTGTATAACATTCTGCCGACGAAGAGCAGTATAATAACTAGAATATCACAGATTTTCGTAAAACTAGTTTGAGAACATGTAAGAATAGATAACTAACTAATCATTCAACAACACATTATAAAAACAGGCTATAGATCTCCACCAATTGAAGGTTGATCACCGCGCTGGGGACCATAAGGACTTACAGTACTTTTGCTACCTGCATGGACCCCAGTCGGATTTACATCATCCCTTCAGTTGGCGATGGCTGACAAATTTAGCCAACATTAAAATAACACATACACTACGATTAAAAACGTGGAAGAAATAAATACACTTTGAAAGACGTGGTCTTACATACCCTCTCAGGGGGACAATACTTTTACACTACTTTAACCCCCTTCGAGGATATAGCCACTAACAATCTCAGTTACTGATTTATTCAACCAATTGTAAAAATGATTTGGGCGGTCTGTCAATAATGGAGTGTGGACCAGACAATCCAGTGATTGACATCATGAGCATCGATCCACGCAATTGAGATCGACGACATGCATTAACCAAGTCAGCGAGCCTGACCATCCGATTCCGTTAGTCGCCTCTTACGTCAAGCATAGTCGCCTTTTCCGGCAAGCATAAGTTGCTGAAGACCTATACTACCCCGGATCTTCACGGGTCTTAGTCACCTACTGATTTCTACAGATGTTTATGATAATTCTATTTTAGCTATAAAAGATAACAAACTAACAAAAAACACTACACCAAAACACCACGCTATAAGATACATCAGCATGTTGTTGTTCCATCACCATTTCAGATTCATCGCCCGGAAAGCGACCGCGTCATACCAAAAGATGTTAAAAGATGGTACTTGTTGTTACCCTGTCTGGCGCTCGGCATTAAGGGACTAAAACAAAAACTGGTCGGCTCGGAGTCAGTATACTGTGTCAGAGTGGGGTATTCATGTTAAACTGCGGCATGGTATCTCATGGGCTAGCACTATAAATCGGCATCAGTCCGGACTAGTACAAGCAGCCACACACTCACACGTGAATGCACGTCGCTATATACGTGCAATCATCTTGGACGCGACGTTAAACCCCATTTCACCTCACCTCACCTCACCTTTAGATTCGTCAGCACCATCCCATGCTCGTGGGTTTCACCAAAGTAGTGAATGTTTGGGGCCTGCATCACTGGGTTTTTCTCCCACATCAAGCTGACATGCCGCGATATTTACCTGAAATGCTGTTAAAAGGAGCGTTAACCCTAACCCACTCGCTCCTACATTCCATCACTGCCGGAATAACACCCAGCTTACCTGAGAGCTGATGTCAAGTTTCAGTAAAGCAGCTTCCATTTTCGACAAGACACGCGCCGACGCGACCGCCATGATGGCTAACAGGGTGAACAGCAACCCGCCTAGTCTTTTCATTGTGTGTGTCTATGTGCGATTAAATCACAGGAATTGTGTGTGTTTTATACCTACGGAATCTAACCAATCAGCCGGCTGAGGGATGTCACGACCAAATCAATGTATTGGTGTATTGAGCTTGTAAATGTTCTCAATAGGCACACCACGCCAAGCAAGGTCAGCGTGTTGTTGAATATTGACAATATGTCCACACATGTTGGATACAGAAAATACACAAAAGAATAGCTTACAGTGTACACCCACAAAAGGAATTGCAACTTGTGTTATATCTTTACCATTATGATGCAATCTCATTAAAATAAGATATTTGTTCTCGCTACCGCTAAACTTGAGTGAGTATAGTTTGACGCCGGCTTTAGCAATATTCCAGCAATATCACGGCGGGGGACACCAGAAATGGACTTCACACATAGTAACCATGTCGGGAATCGAACCCGGGTCTTCAGCGTGACGAGCGAACGCTTTAACCACTACGCTTCCCGACCGCCCCGCTACCGCTTAACAAAGATCTGAGGACATCCCATTACGGGTCATGTAATCCCCTTCTCGGCACGCAACTACCAGAAATGGCTATTGTTGACTTTTGGCACTTCACGTTGAGCAGGAATGCAGTCTGATATTAACTTTTTTTATTTTATCATTTTCCATATGCAATAATTTTGTGTTACCTGCAGCTGGTAAGAAGAAATGACTCAAGTTTCTTAATTTCTACAATATAAGTAACTTTCGGTATAATTAATTATAAACAAAAACAATCTGAATTGTAACATCATCGACTGGATGAAAGTTGTACGATCATGCATGGCAACGGCGGTAAATAAACAACTCCACCTGCATCGTGATCACGCAATTCTATTTCATTCTCTTTTATTATATCTCAAGTATATTTTCTAGAATTATTTACAGGGATGTATACATTCTTGTAAAAGAATATCCAAAAATATATATTTTTATCGAGTTTGCAAATGTTTTCGCGTCATTAACTTTCAGACATTCACATGCTGTTGATAGTGACACGTTTGGGCGTGGCCTAGCTCGCCATTTGTTTAGTTGAACAAAGTCAACAAACACTGCAAATAATGAAAAATATTGAATGATAAACCATTCAATCGTAAAATAATTCAGATTACGAAAAATATAATCAAAATACTGGCAATTGTATCTGTCATTTCTGAAACTGGTAGCACGTACCGCATGTCACACATGGAGGCAAAATATGCAAAAGTTTTTAGCTATCATAAAAAAAATCAAAAATAGATTCAAATTCAACAGGAATTAATATTTCACTTCAGGCTACGGCTGTCTATGACATCACATCCCGTGACCTATGCACTTACTGAAATACTGCAATCATTAATCACGATCTATATTTTCGTTTTTCTCTCGTCATATTAAACGGAAAATGACAAATGAAACATTCTTCGAGTTATGCTTAAATACGTCCACAGGCTAAAGGTTAAAAAAAGTAAAACTGATGCAACTATAGATCATTATGCCAAATCTTAGCGAAATTATACATCAACCATAACATGGTAAAAATGTAAGAAATCACGCGAAATTTCGGGGATCGATGACCTTATTCTGCATCATCTTCTCATGATGTATAACTCAATATTATTATTGCATGTGGAAAATGATAAAATAAAAAAAGTTAATATCAGGCTACATGCCGCTCAACGTGAAGTGCCAAAAATCAAAAATAGCCATTTCTGGTAGTTGCGTGCCGAGAAGGGGATTACATGACCCGTAATGGGATGTCCTCAGATCTTTGCTTAGCTGTAGCGGGGCGGTCGGGTAGCCTAGTGGTTAAAGCGTTCGCTCGTCACGCAGAAAACCCGGGTTCGATTCCCGACATGGGTACAATGTGTGAAGCCCATTTCTGGTGTCCCCCGCCGTGATATTGCTGGACTATTGCTAAAAGCGGCGTAAAACCATACCCACTCACTCACTCATGATGTATCCAGTACATCTGTAAGGAACATCTCATCAAATATATCTGCCAAATTTACGTAGCGTTTTGTTTCCCATTTACCATTTCCCAACCTCTACTATCCGCTCCCTGACCCGTGAGGATCCGGGGTAGAATAGGTCTTCAGCAACCCATGCTTGCCGTAAAAGGCGACTATGCCTGTCGTAAGAGGCGACTAACGGGTTCGGGTGGTCAGGCTCGCTGACTTGGTTGATGCATGTCATCGTATCCCAGCTGTGTGGGTCGATGCTGACGAGAGAGATATGTCCAAACTCGCTCATATACAGTCGCCGTCATAAAACTAGAATAATGTTAAGCACGGCGTTAAACAACATTAATGTTTACATTTCTATTACTTAGTACATTATCCTAATTCATGATAGCAACACAAATACAACACTGGCGGCGCTGGATAAGGTATAACACAAACACTGTCAACACTGATGACCGTAGTTATCGATTGCACTAACGATATTTTGATGTCAGTTCGCAAGCTGGTGCCTATACCTTGTTACAACCATTTCGTGATTAGTAGGATGGCAGCGTGTTACACTGAAATCAACATAACGCCAATGTTGGCTGCGTATAAACCCCAATAAAGACGACAGATTGACACAGAATCAGATGTCGTTATCAGCGACATGCCATCACGGTGCAATGTCAGTGTTCCACAATCAGGGTTAGAATTGAGGGTTAGGCTTGGTCTGAAGCAACCCAACCCGTGAAGATCCGGGGTAGAATAGGTCTTCAGCAACCCATGCTTGCCGTAAAAGGCGACTATGCTTGTCGTAAAAGGCGACTAACGGGATCGGGTGGTCAGGCTCGCTGATTTGGTTGATGCATGTCATCGATCCCAATTGCGTAGATCGATGCTCATGATATCAATCACTGGATTGTCTGGTCCAGACTCGATTATTTACAGACCGCTGTCATATAGCTGGAACATTACTGAGTGCGGCGTTAAACAACAAACCAACCAACCAACCTAAGCAACCCATGGGTGGGGTCCTACTATTTAACGTCCGGGGGCGTCCGGAAACGTCCGGGAGGTATCATCAGACGAATGGAAACGTCCGGGAGGTTTCATCAGACTTCCGGGAGTTTAAAAATACAGTGCAGTCAATAAAACATGTCTTTCTCAGTTTTCTCAGGTGTTGAGGCGGTTTGTGTCTTGTCGTCATGACGACTCTTCTTCTTCTTCTTTTGCAAATGTTGTTTACGCTTCATCTGCAAAGAGATAAATACCATTAAATATCGAAAATATCGAAAAATAACTAACCATACCTCACCTCTGATCTCAAAGAAGAGATCATTACATTTACACCTTGGGATGCAAGCGTGACCTTTCGAAAGCGGGGTCCGCATATTTGTCATGTTTTTCCTCAATCTTGTCAATCACATTCGTGTCAAAAGGGGACGGAAAATTCAATTATGTAAATGATTTCATTGTATGCTTGTCGTAAAAGGCGTATAACGGGATCGGGTGGTCAGGCTCGCTGACTTGGTTGGTACATGTCATCGTATCCCAACTGCATGGATCGATGCTCATGATGTCAATCACTGGATTGTCAGGTCCAGACTCGATTATTTACAGACTGCCGTCATATAGCTGGAATATTGCTTATTGCGGCGTTAAACAACAAACAAAACAAAGGTTACGCCGATGTTCATGATGTCAATCACTGGATTGTCTGGTCAAGACTCGATCCAGACTGGAATATTTCTGAGTGTGGTGTTAAATAACAGACAAACAAACAGAACATTTTGACGATCCGATCATTAACGCTTCATGGACTCTTTATTTAATGCAAGGGATAAACATTTTCTTTGTATTTTGAAACAAAGATCAATTCGGTGCAAACGAATAAGCACCAAAGTAAATACAATGGAATTTATTGGTTTTTACCTTCGTTTTTTTCTTCCATGTTCCAAGCTTATTGAATACATATTTATGTTGGTATGTCGACGTGACACGCCTTCACATCTGACATTTACATTGATTGAATTGACTGTTCATATCAAGTGGCATACATGCGACCGTGTTTTATAGTCCAGGTCGATTACACTTTACACCTGGTGCATGAACCTTTGACGGGTTTTTTTCTTGATGACAGACCATTTTCATCTAGGAACTGGGCGTGAGTGATTGGTAAATTTGGTTTAACACGACTTTGGAGAGTGTGTCAGTTTGATGTGGGAGGAAACCTTCAAGTAATACAGATCTTAGAAGTTTATCACTTTTGTGAAACCAGCGAGAGCCGGAATAGTGTTTTTAACCTGGAAACACAATCACTGCGAATCTGGGATTTGAATCCACGATCATAGTTGCCACATGCCCAAATTGATAGAACTTTTGCTCTCGTGTTGTGTAATTAACCCGATGAAACGTAACAGACAGATCGGACAGACATCAGACAAGCTGTCCCAGGGTAACTACGCCTAATGAAGACCGGTACTTGCCCACTGTGCCTGCCTGGAATCAATTCCTGGCAGTGACATCATAGGGCATATAGTTAGCCGAACAGTGAACAGGCGACTCAGGGTACGATGAATTAGGGCTTGAGTACAGAGTACAGTTATTGACCGCGCAACATCGTCGTCAGAGATTGGGATGGGCCCGGAGTGTAGATCGTTGGCAGCGACGTGACTGGCTTCACTGATGTAAGTTGGTTCTGTCTGTTCAGAGCTGATGGTAGACAGCGTGTGTTACGCCGAAGGGGAGAACGAACGTTGCGTTCAGGAGTTCGTGCCGTAGGGTGGAGGGGATGTCTTGGTGTGGGGAGGAATAAGTGTGCTGGAGACGACACCTCTGGTCGTTGTCAACGGAAATTTGTCAGCTCTACGTTACATGGGTCAAATTCTTCGTCCGATTGTCCTATAGTTTCTACAACACTTGCCACGTGGTGTCCTCATCAGTTGACAACGCCAGAACCCATACATTACTACCGTGCAACCAACGTGTTACTGTTGCCCCCACGCTCCCCAAACACGTCCCCTGTAAAACACATCTGTGATGTCATGGACAGCCAACGGACAAGAACTGATCCAGGCC